TAGAGACAGGGTTTCACCATGTTGGCCAGGCTGGTCTTGAACTCCTGACCTCAGGTGATCCACCTGCCTCAGCCTCCCAAAGTGCTGGGATTACAAGCGTGAGCCACCGCGCCCAGCCAGGGTTTCACTCAACTGGGTGGCTCCCTTGGAGTAGACCCTCCCACTGCTCCGCATCCTTCCCCCCTTTAAGAAGAGACCAGTCCTTGGCTCATGCTGTTCATGGGATTTATTGCCACTCCCCTAAGGTCAGCAGGGGAAGGGGACACCAGCCACACCTCACCACAGGCATAGATGGCACTGAGCCACCTGGCACTATCTCCACGTGCTCCACATGGAGGGGTGCTTCCTCACTCGCAGCAGCTGCACTTCTCTGCCTCTGCCTCGGCCCCCTCTCCGCCTTTGCACACACAGTCCTTGGCACACTTCTCACACTCCGCAGGGCAGCAGGAGCAGCAGCCTGCAGATAAAATGGAAGATGACGAGTCTGATGCACACTCCCGAAATCCGTCCCCATCAAAGGGGAGGGAAGGGTGCTGGGTGGGGAGTCATCCTCGTTCATTCAGCCAGGGCTGGTCACAGCCCCCTTCTTAGTCTCGCACCTGCTCTGACTCAGCATCTAAGTCGCGGCAGTGGCATCCTGCACCACCACAGGAGAGAGGTACCCAGGAAATAGACCAGAGCCCCTTGGGTGGATGCCAGGAAGTCCTGGGGGCTGGTGGGCTTAAGCTCAGGTTAGGTGGGTACTAGGCCTTAAGGAGAAAGCATCACAGGGTAAACGACCTTGAAAGGGGCCTTGAAGGATAAACTTGGGAGGGGCAGATATGACGCAGATGTAGGGGGCCCAGGAAAGCCGTGGGGAGGGGGTGGGGACCTGTGCCTGGTCTTATACCTAGGGAAGAAGGGAGCCTTCCTCCCACCTCTTACTCTCTATGCATATTACACTGCTGTGAGCTGGGAAGATGGGGTTTTGAGGGGTGGGGCGGGAAAGACTGGACCAGTGTAGCAGTCCTCAATCCCAGCTGCCATTGGAGTCTTCCGGGGATTTACAAAAACCTCTCGTTCCATGCCTAGGCCATCAATTCCTGGGTGTGGGGCAAGGGCATCTGTATTTTAATGTCTTCCCGGGTGGTTCTGTTCCAGCAAGAGTCAGAAACCACGGGATTGGGGCCTGGCGGTCTCTCCGTATCCTGCGTATCCTGCGTGGTGAGACACCAACTCCGCAGAGCAGAGGGGGCGGCGGCAGAGGGGAAGGGTCCCCGCACTCACTCTTCTTGCAGGAGGTGCATTTGCAACCCTCGCACTTGCAGGAGTCCGCGCAGGTGCAGGAGCCACCTAGAGAGGGCGACGCCACAGGAAGGGTTAATGTGGACAAACTCGGGTCCCCACGCCTGTCACGAGGAGATGGGGCACCAAGTCTCCCTGTTCTCCGCGACACAGGCATGCCCACCTTTCAGGAGGTGAAGAATAGGGAATCAGGAGCCCTTCCCCCAAGTGTCCTTGAGCGAAGGCGCGGGGCGTGGGTTTTTTTTGCAGGTACAAGGGCGCACAGTGCCGCAGGATGGGAGCGGCGGCGGGGGCTCACCAGAAGGGCAGGGGCAGGTCTCAGGGTCCATGTCGAAGCGAGCAGCAGCTGGAAGCTGTGAATGGGCTTCTCCAAGCAACTGGACGCGCGGCTTGGCTAGTGGCAGCAGGTGGCGATGCTTTTATAGCCCCGGGCGGGGGCGCGCATGCCAAGCCCGCTGGGCGCCCG